ATTTGCGAGATGCCTGTCCAAAGTGGGGAAAATGGAATGACACTGAGATGTGCGTATCCACGAGATATGCGGACTGTGGCTGAGTTTTTTCTTTGCGTATTGTTGATTAAAAATAAATTGTCAGCTTTGACAATCGTGCGGCAGTTGTATTTATAAACAGAAAGAATTTTCTGCGCAAAAGGGGAATGAAAATTTTGTTTACAATATTTTATCTCTTTTTTGTTTGTTATTTTTAGATATCTGCTGTAGCAGACAACAGGGAGACTTGTTCCTAATTTTTGCACTTAAAGCAAAGGGGGAGAAGTATTCCAAGGTATTATGATCCTCCCTATAACCGTACCTAGATAACTCTTAGCGATCATTTATTCATACGCTTGTGTTCCCGTTTTTATATGAAAAGTGATGAAGCGTTTCCAAAAAATTATTAAAATTCAATTTACGAAAGTCACTGCCCGTAAATTTGTCACACGCAGAAAAGGAAACTGACACAGAACAAATCACGTAAAACGATGGGAACTTTTCAGGTGGGCAGAGATCCCCGGTGACTCTGGTCGATTGGTGTTAATCCTCGCGATGATTTGGCGCTTTCAACTCTTTTGGGTTAACTGTGCAGCTGATGAAGCGACGGTGATTCTCGATTTAGGGCAGAAAATGCATTTATAATTTTAGGAACCATTAAACCAGTATAAAAAGTAATTTAACAAAATTCTTTAGAAGTTGTAGCAAAATAATATAGTAAAGTTTTAAGTTTTTATATTGAAAGATTTAATTAAATAATTCATAATCATAAATCAATCGATTTACAATTGGTTTTAAACGAATCTTCCTGGAGCGTTACCTTCATAAGTAAATATCATCACACTTAACTCTCGAATTTCCCATGCACATATCGCATAAATTCAGCTTTATTCAAAACATCATTCTCATAGATGTCAACAATAGAGAACTAACGCACGATATTTGTTAAGCATTTGGCGTATTAACAAGCTTCCCAACACCTCAGAGACCCAGCGAGAAAGATCAAAAAACCCATTGGGAAACCCAATTGAAAACTCATCAAATTGAAATTATCGCCGGCAATTGTGGGACTTTGAATGCATATGGCCCGACTTATAGCGACCGTTATTTGACTTTCCCAACATATAATAATCATAACTTGAATTGAAAATCACCACGGCACAAGGGAACGAACCGAAGTCCAATAAGGGCAATCAAACAAGGCAAAGAACCAAGGCGCACACAGCATAATAAACTAAATGGTAAACAAATATTGGAGCTGACAAAAAAGATGGGGTTTTTTTTTTGATGTGGTAAGGGGTCAGCCCAGGGTTCTGTGTTTACCAAAATTGTCGCGCAAGTGCAGAGCGAATTGGGTCACCGCCTCTACCTGATGCATCCACTACGATTGGTGTCGTATTTCAATAAGTCCTCCCTCCCCCATATCGGATATTTAATTTGTTTAACGCTTAAGACGGCCGGCATGCGTGGGCGTTTCCTGATGCTCCGCCGATAGATAGCCAGATAGCCATCGACTTGCTTAATTGTCGTGACAAGTTGACAGTTCGCATGAAAGCCCTGCCATTGTTCGGGACTCCTTTCCCTTCCCATATCCATCAGTGTATTAAATTTCGAAAAAGAACTCCCGAAATCGGCTCCATTTATGTGCACTTGAAAAATATCTTTGAGTTTTTTGAACAGCTTTCTATAAACTAATTTTCGAAATCATTTTAAATGAAACTAATATTTTTTAAAAATATTAAAGGGTCTTTAAAAGGTTTTTCATAAAGTTACAATAAGTTTTTGAATCTAACAAAGAAAGTAAAAAAGTTGAAGATTGCTTGAGGCCTACATTTAATAAATGCGACTGGAAATATTCGTAAGAAATCTCTTATCGATTTCTATAAATTGATTTCGACATACTTTGCTTATTAAACTTGCGCTAATATGTTAAGGTTTAAAAGTGATTGGATATTTTAATATTTTAATTATGACAAATTTTAAAATTATTTTAAATAATTCCTTAAGTGTATGTTTAAACAACACTTACTCGTATTTATCTCGGCTGACCCAATTTCTGGTTGTTTGTCGCTTGCCTTATTAAAAACATCCGACTACCGATCGGGGCCCTGCGGTCTGGGCTGGTCTTTTTGGCCCGACTCCGATGATTCATTTGTGCTGGGTTACACATTTTGCCATTGACGAGGTGCCCGAGGTCCACATGCCATTCCAAAAGACCCCGTCGTATGCGTCAGACCTTAAATATTTACACCAAAAAAAGTAACGATAAATAAGAAGCTTATGGAGGTTGGCAGATAGCTGAGTGAGTGAAAATAGTTAGATGGCAGCTAAAAGCGGTTGAGTAACCTCTTCAAGGTGGTAATCGAAGTCATTGCGATCACTTAAGCTTTACCACGTGATTTATTGTCTTGTGAGTCATAGGAAGTCCTGGTAGTTAAACAACGCATGATTGAAATATATCTATTTAATAAACTTTTTAATATGGCATGTTGTTTAAAGTGGATCTTAAAACTCTCTAACAAACTCAATCAATCTAAGGCAATTATATATTATTCAGCTTCTGTTTTGATAGGACCATGACTATAATAATTTAAAAGAAAAAGATCATTAAAGCTAAGTATGTAGTTCTCCCACCAAATTTTCTTTACAAGCCCTTAACACCCCTTAGAACATAAGAAAACCTCCAGCAGAGATCCCTAAATCTATACTCCAGCTTATTATGCACTCTACCCTACCGATCTCATGCTTAGTGCCTAAGACGTCCACTTTCCAACCGTTTTATGACCCAACAAAAAAAGAAGGTTGACAAAAGGCGCAGTGATTGATGCGCTAGAAATGGTAGGGGGATGGATCCGCCCGATAATGACTTTTTAAATACGATTCCAATGCGCTAAAAGGGGCAATCATCAGGCCGATGACAAAGAACAAAGTGCGCGTAGATGGAAGACGGGCTAGGGACGTTTAAAGCGCGCTATTGAAAAGTAATTTGCATTTCATAAGCCTCCCGGGGCCAAGGATCACGGAAACGCCAGCAAAAAGATTGTGATGACATTTGAAAGGCGCATGGCCCCTGAGGGTTCTCAGATGTGACGATTTATGGCGATTTGATGATGGCAAGCCCATTGAAATTTGCGCCAAGATGCAGCAATGCGCGATCCTCGATCTCAGTTAATGTGCTAATATTATGCAAAGCACTCAGGTTCGAAGACGGGATGAAATCGGGTGGAAAACACGGGGGTCCTATGCACGTGCGAAGGGATTTGTGCATCGATATTTTACACTGAAAGAAATATCTATTTAATTTTGGGCATTACAAAATAATATACATTATTTTACTTATTGAACGAATAGTAATAATTCCAATTTGCTTTTTTTAATTAATTCGAAATCAATTAAATTTAGGATAAATAAGTTCCTAAAAATGTTGTAATGTTTTTAAAAAGGCTAATAAATTTTAGTCACAAGTCACAAAAATGTCAAATATTTTACAAAATAATGTACATCATTTTACTTATTGAAAGAATAGTTATAATTCCTATATGCTTGTTTTAATTAATTCGAAATCAATGAAATTTAGGATGAATAAGTTCCTAAAAATGTTGTAATGTTTTTAAAAAGCCTAATAAATTTTAGACACTAGTCACAAAAATGTCGAATATTTTTCCAGTGCACCTACTTGGCATTTAACACTGACAATGAATAGGCGAAATTCACCGGGAGTTTGTCACGTTTCGTTGGCCTAAGACTTTGGTAATCAGTTTTCATGAGGCAGCACTAGCTCTCCCTGATCGGTAACGGTCCTAACAGGCTTATCGACCCAACAGACTGTTGCCCACCATCAGTAAGAATCAATCAGCGCTAAGACAGTAGTTACTGGGTGGTACGAGTAGCTAGTTGCTTCCTTTCGTTTCGGTTCCAACTCATTAAGTTCCTCAAGCGCAACGTTTTGTCACCGGGAGTGGAAACAAAGAGCTTTGTGTCTTATACATAATACTGGCGTAACTGGACGATAATTTACTGGTCGGCCTGCATCTGGACTAGGTCTGGGTTCCTATAATCCGTCATGCCTGGCTGCCGATTTACATTAATGCGCCAATTTCTGGGCGAACAATGGGCCAGATACCGAGACATCCGAGTCGCGTCGACTGTAATTAACATTTCTCGCATTATAATTTGCCCTTTTTTCCGCCATCCAGTCATCAGCAGCCATCAGAAATCAGACATCAGAGGCCCCAGAAAGCGGCTGAGTTGGCAATTTAATGTCCGCACATTTTCGCAACAGGAGCGGGAAGCGATCGCCGGTGGGCGGGGATAACCACTCGGTTGGCGAAAATCGTTTTGCATTATTGTGCCACTCTTGGTGACTAATAGGCAAATGAGACTCGCTTCTGTGGGTATCTCTTAGCGTAATTTTCCGCTTTATTTACAGTTTTTTAGTATACTTTAACCAACAATAGCCAATTATGGGGGAAAAGTAGCCAGTGTTTATTTTATTTAAAAAGAAAAGGTATAATAAATTAAGTATGATTAATTTAACAATGATTAATTATATAAAGACAAAATAATTTCAAGGAAATTGTTTATAAAAAAATATAAAGAACAGTTTTATTCTTTTATAAATATTAATTTAATTAAATTATGTTACTTTCTCATATTAATTTACTGTTTTTACACCATAAAAGAAAGATCTGTTTATTTTCAAAAAGCTATATAGTTGAAAATAGTTTGTTGCTCCCAGCAGAATATGATAAAATATTTTAGGTCTTGCTTATTGAACAAAACAATGATCTGACCATTACTTTTAGATTATTTAATATTATTTAATTTTATAAGTAGGATTGTGTATGTATTTCAAATTTGCCACCCTGCGAACTGAATGATAAGGCTATTTATATAGGCGAATGCTATACCTTGCCTAATCAAAATGCAATTTGCCAGCAGCCACCAGTTGATTTTCAAATCGTGTGTGGTAAACAAGTGCGATGAGGCTTTGCGTCCTCTTATCTTTCCTAAGTCTAAATATTTATTGGGAAGTTTTTGCTAATGGCATAGGTATACTTTTTGAAAATTTGATTATTCGTGCTGACTGTAAATCTTGAAAACATTTTTTAGGTAATCGTTACTTTTTGGAAAAACAGCGTTTTCTGCTGGAAATTCTGCATCATGTACACGAGCCTTTAATGAACCAACAATGGCGATTATTGGGTGCGCAGTTGGTAACCGATAAGGAGCAGTATGTGGTTGGTATAGGGCAAACAATTACTGAAATATCATTAATCCAGTTATTACAAATTTAAGGTCTACAACGATCATATGATCGAGTTTTATAAGGCATTTAATTCGGGAAGACTATTACATAGAAACGAATACTACAATCCGCTCTATGCCGATCATTATCAACAAACGCTGGGACTTTTTCATTTTTTCTACAACTCAAGAGATTGGTACACTTTATGGCAAAATATTTGCTGGGCAAGAGTTCACCTAAATCCGGGAGTATTTGTTCAAGCTCTGACCCAAGTTATCTTCAAAAGAGAGGATTATCAGGCCCTGGTTATGCCCAAGGTCTATGAATTGTGGCCAGAAACATATCACGATGATAAAACTTTAAGAAAGGCAAGAAATTTTAACTTTGCCAACTGGATAAAATACGAGAATTTAAGTGACATTAAGGAAATCCACCCGCAAAAAATTGAACCTTTAAGTTTGGAAGGTGGTCTGCGAAACTCGATTGAATGGTTTCAGGCCATGGCCGATGTGAATATTCTCAGAATGAAGCAACAGAAAAGGGAGAATAAGCTACAGCACTTGCTGGAGGATATTGGTTGGCAATCATATTGGTATAATCTGAACGTGGGTATTGCTTTGACTGAGGAAAAGTCAGATGAGTTGCAGGAATGGTGTTACTATCAATTAAGTCAAGTTTTAGCACGTTATAAACTGGAACTTTATGGCCAAAAGCTCTCTTATAAGAGGTTAAGACCAGCTGGGAATAAACGAAAACAGAAGCGTAGACTCCAGGAAAAGTCCTCGAAAACTACGCAAATGATTATTGAAAGTCTTAAGGAACTGGAGGCAAAAGTTGGTGATGCCATTGCCTTTAGAAGTTTTCCACTCTCTAATGGTACTTATATTAATTTGGAGAAGGACAACAATTGGCTGATTGGACTTGCAGAACTGTTCCCATACGATTGGACGAAATTAACCGTAAAAGAAATTATCCAACCAGAAGATTTAATGGATACTCGAACTTCACTAAGGTCCGATAACTTTTATTATTATGCTGAGCGAGTTTTGCAGTCATATCGTTGGTATCGTCAGGTCTTCCAACCCTCTACTCAGAAAATATTTATTCCCAGTGATCTTCGCATCGATGATTTGCAAATAAGTCCCCTTATCACCTACGATCAGCCAGTGGATGTAGATCTCAGTAATATCCTACACGCCAAGCATTTTTACCTAGCAGGACAGTTTGTGTGGCCCTTTACCTTGCAACAACGTCAGATTCGACTGCAGCACAAGGATTTCAACTATAATCTACAAGTATCAAGCAACAAAACGCAGTCTACCATTTTTCGAATTTTTCTAACCACTCCGGTAAAAGGATCCATACAAAGAGAGCCCTTCTATCAGTTGGATTCGTTTTTAACTGTGATATATCCAGGAATTAACAGGATTACGAGGAAATCAAAGGAGTTTAGAGGCCTGATTGGCGATCACATCTCATACACTGAACTCCATCAATTCGTAAAGTTGGCCGAAAGGGAGAAATATGACTTCCCCTTGAATATTTCCACTCCAAATTGTGGATTCCCTAGACGGCTGATTTTACCGCGGGGAGGTACGAAAAATCCCCTTAAGATGCGACTTCTAATTGTGGCCACAGTCTACGACTTTAAGGCTCGGCAGGGCAACGAACTAAACTGTGACTTCACCAAGGGTATCAGTCGTTGGGATGAATTACCCCTGGATTATCCCTTTGAACGCATTCTGGAAGACGATACTCAGGCGGTTGAGATCTCCGCTGATCATCTGTACTGGAAAGATGTCTGGATCCAGCATGAGGAGCATCTGGCATAATAAATTTAAGTTTCCTAATTATGAAATCTATAAATACACCAACCATAGATTTTTTGTGATTTAATTTCACAGTTTCAAAAAATAATGAAATTTAAGTTTTTAATTTTCCGAAATAATAAGTAATGATTATACTAAGTTTGCTTCACTCTGTTAATTCCTATCTCTTTATTATCAGTCTATCGAACCTTTTTAGACATTTTTTGGGCAATTCCATAAATAAACTTCAATTTTATTTAACCGTTTTCCTGTCTATCCCCTTCCTAATCCTAACAAATAAACCCTTTAACGGATAGTGACGCCAAATTTGGGTAATTACAAGGCATGGAGGAAATATTAAGAAGACGGGCCACTCCACATGGGGCCTAAGAACCTCAGTCCAACATGCATACAATATTAATCAAAATCACACTGGGGAAAAATGTTGTTAAATTTATGAACCGAAAAAACTTTTAAATAAAACTCTAATACATTTTGATATTATTATAGATATAATAAACATTTTTCCTTTATTTTCCGAAACTAACTTTTTTTTTAATTATCAAATTTCATTTACTGTATCAATAATTAAAAATCTTTTCTTACTGCACAAGTTTCAAATGCGTAGAATCAAAACAAAAATTAAAAGCGAACAATAATATATGTCTGTATGAAGAGGAAAGGGCCTTAGAAGTGAGGATCGAAAGGGGGTTTGGTCCCAAACGGGAGGTGTGGGGTCTGGAAACGACGTTGCATGGATGCAAAGCACTTTATATAAAGTCGAAGAACGGTTTGAAAAAGAGGGCGGGGAACAGCGAGACCGCTAAACTTGTTATACGCAATCGAATCGAAAATATAGGCGAAATAAAGCGAGACGCGGCAGGGGCGTCAAAAGGGGGGGAGTGGCTTTAAATCTAGAACTAGTTTTGGATCTTTTTTTCGATTTTTTTCTCTTTCTTTGGCCCGATGACGCGGTATAAAAGAAAATATTGGACACCTGCACGGTTTCGTATCGCAGCCAAGCAGCAACTACAACAACCACACGGCGTATGAGGGACAAGTGAAGCCCGAATAAAAAATTAAATAAACGCACGGACAGAGGCCAAGAAGCAGAGCGTCGATGGCAAGGCGACTGAGCAGATAACACGGGAAAGACGAACGAAGAACCGATTTCCAATAGGTCGAATCTGAGATACTCTGACATATCCTCCAAAATCCAGAACGAACCTATGTATGAGCATTCTTTATAAGACTTATTAAACATTAAAGAAGCATAAAATAATTTTGTTAAAATTTATAAACAAAATACTAGTAATATGAAGTCATAAAAAAAAGTCAGATGATAAAAACTAAATCATTCTTAGCGAAAATTTTGAAATGATCACTTAAAACATGGTGTTATTTTTTTTTTTTTTTAATTTGACCACGATTTTGGGATATTGTATTAAAAAGATGAAGCAATCGACCGATTCGTGGTGATCTACACGATTTCTGGACTTGGTATTAAAAACATGAAGCAATCGACAGATTCGTGGCGATCTACGGGCAATTAAAGAGTATACTTATAAGACTAGGCAACCGTAACGTGCCTTAGATTTTCTTCAGCATCTTTCTCTCCCTTTTTTCGACTTGTCTGTCTCACTCCCACTGGTTATCTGACTCTGGTCTGTTGGCTTAGGTAGCTGCAAAATTTTGCCTGTCCCGAAAACCCAAAGAAGACAGAAATAATAAAAAGGGGCAGCCGAGCGTAGAGCGATAGAAAAGGTAAGGACGAAAACTAATGTCCAGGCTTTTATTTCCAAGAAATTTAAAACTTTGCGAAGGAGCGAAGAACACGGAAAAGGGAAAAAGAAAGATGGTGTCGGGGCGTTCAGAAAAAAGATAGGACCGAGGCACTTGAGAACACATGGAAGGGAATCGGAGTTTGAGGATCTCGAACCGCAGGTAGAAGACCTAGTAATGGATTCTAATTTTTTCCCTTCTCTTCCCTTATAATAACACTGTGCAGCATTTTTAGTGCTTTTTAAATTTACCTCGATGGATGCTATATTTTTGGATTCGTTACGAATTCCCAAGTTAAACTGCGTTTTCCAAAAAGTTCCCCGACGCAAGGATTCTTAGCAAAAGGACCTCAAAGTTCGAAAAATGCTGAAATTGGCCAATTTTGCGGAGCTCTCAGAGGCAAATGGATGCATGGTTTGATTCGATGTTAAAGTTTTTTAAAAGATACGCCCTTTATCTTTTAAACCCCATACTTAAAAAATTTTTAAGATTTTTTTTAAGGCAGAAACAAATTCTAGAAAACATAGTCAAAAAACATAAAAGTATACAGCTGCGGTCAAAATGGTAGTAGTGTTGCCGCCCTGTGTATTTAAAAGTTTGTTGTTGTAATTGATCTTTTCCTGGTAATATTGTATTGATTATAATTTTACTATTAGACTAATTTGATAAGAAAAAATTACAACATCAAACTTTTAAAAACACAAGGCGGCAACACTGCTACTATTTTTACCGCAGCTGCAATTTTTTTCAGTTTTTTGACTATGTTTTTTGAAATTTATTTCTGCCTTAAAAAAAATCCTAAAATTATTTTATATATGGGGTTTGAAAGATAAAGGGTGTATCTTTTAAAAAACTTTAACTTCGAACCAAGCCATGCATCCATTTGCCTCTGAGAGCTCCGCAAAGTTGGTCAATTTCAGCATTTTTCGAACTTTGAGGTCCTTTTTCTAAGAATCCTTGCGTCGGGGAACTCTTTGGAAAACGCAGTTTAACTTGGGAATTCGTAACGAATCCAAAAATATAGCATTCATCGAGGTTAATTTTTGATGCTGCATAGTGTAATTTATTGCGCCCAAATTAAAGAGGGGAGCAAATAAGAACTTTTGCCCAGTCAAATGGTTTCCGATGAAAACTTTTGCCAACTAAGGGATAAAACCATAAAATGCTTAACGACAAAAGACGTGTGTTGTCTGCCATTTAAGGTGATTCCAGTTGAAGTGCATTTTGTCAGCTTAACTTCAGTTGGTCAGGCTATAAAGTCCACCGATCCCGTCCCGCTCCGTCGGTCCTTCTGTTTGCATAACTGTACAATCGGCTGGGAACTGTCGGCACTCAGAACTTGATTGCTTTTTGAACTTTCCGCCGAGCTGCCAACCCAACTCCCCACATCCCTCGCTCAACTTCAGCAGGGTCTTTGCCATTTATGCATAATTAATAAATTGCCTTGTACGCAAACGAAGACGTTCGCCGATTGCAACGATAAAGTTGCTCATCCGCTTTCGTTATGACTAAAGACCTTATTACAAATATCGAACTCGAATACGTATACCCCTCGAGCCGACTGTTGATATTCCATGGAGAACTGTTTTTATAAAACTGAACTAGACTCATTTGCTTTATTTAGTTAAAAGCCTTGAGCGCGGGTATGCATATTAAAGGCATATTCCGAAAATATTTGACAACAATAAATAAAAGTAGAATAACAAATTGTGAAAATAATTAGCGATAACTACATTTGTATTTCCAAGTAAACAAATTTTAGATTTTTTAAAAAGTGTATGACTCATTTCACACTATTTGAACAGAAGCGAGATTTCAATTCCAATGAAACGGATTATCAAGAAATATAATCATTTAATTCTAGGTTGTTATCAGCCGTTTTTTACGATCTTAAATATGAGAGGGCTGAGCATCGCTTAAACAATCGCCATGAGCTGAATTTCAAAACAGTCAAATTTTTTAAATTCAGCAAACAGGTTGATTTATTTTGTGAAGCTTGAGCTATGAAAGATCACAACAGTCTTAAGGTTTTTGAAGAGCCAGATCAAATATTTCACGAACTTAAAATGGAAGATACCATGAAACAATTATATCCATCATTTGGTCAAGCATTGAATTGGCTCAATCAAAATGAATGTACAGAATTGGAAACCCGAAAAATATCAGTTATATATTGGCCAGCAATTTTGACATCTTGCGGTTCTCAAGTTCTTAAAATAGATGGTACCTGGGATTATAACCATACAATTCCATTCAAGCTAATCGAAATTCATTGCCCTAATTTGCAAACAGTTCTTCTGAATGTAAACAATCAAAACGCTTTGGAAATAACTTTTTTGCTGTCCAACGCAAAAAACCTGAGATCTGTTCATCTGCATATTAATGAAGATTGCGAAGCCTCTGCAAGTATTATAAACGCCCTGACACATCTTCCTTTGCTAAGCCAATTACTTTTACACGGAGTCGAAATCAATCAAAGTAAGTTTCTAATTTATAAAACGGAATTAATTAATTGCATAATACATTTTCAGTTCATTTAATTGGAAAGCTTGTTGCCTTGGAAAGCCTGAGCCTTACAATAAAACGCGACCCTACGCCTTTCAATTTATTTGAAATTTTATCGCCAGTGAAAAAACTTCGTACTTTGTTTATTTCCAACATAAATCTTTCCGAAAGTTATGGTCAAGATTCGCCCTGCGCCGAATTGGAAGAAATAGAAATCTTCTTTTGCTATATTCCATCAATGTTGCCACATTTTCCAAAACTAAGATCATTGCGATTCAGAAGTAATTTCTATTTGTATCCAAATTTTATCCTGACTAACTGGATTTCATTACATTCAACGAGTTTAGAAGATCTGGAGTTACTTTTTGCACATTATCCGCACTATACAGACGAATTTAATGAAATGGATGTACTCGAAACTATAAAGTGTTGTAAAAATATAAGAATTCTACGCCTATATAATTGCGTAAGCTGTTTGTTCATAGAGCCCTTCATGAATATAGTAAGGCGAAATGGTGTCACCTCACATAAGCCTTTTAATTTGGTACTACAGAACTATGAAGAGGTGCAATATAAGGTGGGTTGGTCATTTATTATTATTTCCTTTAAAGTGTTAACTAACTAACTAACTTTTTATTTCAGTTCCTGGAATCTCCTCATGCTGAAATAGTTAATGTAAGGGGTCCAACTCAATTGGAGAAATGTGCATGGAATTTTATGAGCTAATATACGTACTATATTTTAATTTCAAATGTATTATTAAAAAAAATATTTTTAAAGGTACCTAAACATAGTTTTCCATTATATTATATACTGTATAATATTTTATATATTCCACATGTAATTTTGTCCTTTTTATTGAAACATAGGCCATATTTCATTGCGCTTGACCGGAATTCACCTTATAGTATTCCGGTGTAAGTAAGTAAAGTAAAAAAGTAAATAATTAGCAGTGCGTAAAGTATGACTTCCGAACCCTTATCAGTTCCGGGTAAAAAAAAACAGCTTATTGATAATCTTGAGTTCTCCGAAACTTTGTAATTTCAATTTTAATTTCTAATATAGTCATTGATCGACATTATGAGGAACCTGAAAACCTGAAAAAAATGTTACCGAACATATCAAATAATTTGTTAAGAACTTTTTACGATATTTAGTTAAACTTATTCAGAAGTAACTTTAAATATTTTAAATATTTAATTTTTTGTTGTTTCTTACTAACAAATTTAGTTTTTAATCTCTTTGTTTTTTATTTTAAAAGACTCTTTGATGTATGTTTAAAAAAAATTAATTAAAAAAGGAATACAGTCTCACCCGAATCGAGTTAATCATCGCCCGGCAAGCGATCTTTTGTTTCACGTCTGATGTGTGGGCGATCGCACTTTCAGTCCACTCCGAGATAGCGAGCCTGAATCGGAAGTATTCCCCATGTTTGCCGGTTGCCGTCTTTTATTTCGCTTTCAGTCGGATGAGCGATGGGAGGCGTTGGTGGCCTCTGTCTTCTGTCCACTGCCTCTTGGTTTATCGTTTCTGGGCATGTCTCAAGGGTTGTCCAATATTTCAGAATGTCTGACAGCTGTTCACATTCCCTGGGCAGTGAAAGTGGGTCACCGTTGGCACATTTAATGGCCTTGTTGGGGTAGGTGATTGTGGATGCTTTTGTTTTGAAACAAACTCAACTGAGGTTTTGCTAAAATGGCGCGTAAAATTGTATTACTTTTATTTAAATATCATTTAAGTGGCAAATATACCTTTTACTGAAAGAAAGAAAATGTTTTTATCGTGCATTATTATTAAAAGTGGATAGTCAGTCTGAAAACGTCAAGAGTCAGTTAAAAGACAGAGAGACAAAGGATTATAAAGACATAGTTTGATCTAGAAAGAAAGAATGAATTCCTAAGGGAAAATATACGTACAGATATAATTAAAATATTTTTAAGTAATTTTTCAGTCATTTTACCTGCAAAACCAAACAAAATTTCCAATTAAAAACCATTTGTCTGAAAAGTGTTTGCACACGCGTTCATCCGTTCAGCTGGGAAATAATTATCAAAAAGGGGCGTGGCGCACTAAAAATATTTTCAAGCGAATCTGTGGCGTGGCCAGTTGGCAAAATGCCAAATAATGCAGCGCATGAAAACTCTCTCAATGAATTATGATAAAAATAATTTTCCTCATGGGTGCCATTCTCAGTGGGGGAAGTTAATAACAAAAACAAGCATTTTTTATTTTCTATGGAAACGAACTATCTGGTAGTAAAACTAAAAGTTCAGAAAACCAATAAATTTCTGAACAGCCCAATAAAATTGTTGTCGTTGTAAAAATTGCAAAAGATCAGGCGTAAATCAAGGCACATCGAAATGCTAATAAAAAGCAATTGATGTTATTTTCATGTTCAATGATAAGTGATAATTGCTGTAATTGATCGAAATTATTATTAGCACTTAAGATTTGAACTTTAATATAAACCTAGAAGATAACTTAGAAAAATAAGCAGTTACAACAAGCCAAAGCATACAAACATATCGATGAAGACTAATACATTTATTATACAAAAGTAATTATATGGCGGACTAATCTAAAAATATACACTTACACATTACAGAAACAACTTACCTCCAGATGTGATTGTACAAGAAGTCGAAATCCTTGGATTTGATTTTATTTGCAGTTTGGAAGCTTGACCAACCGGCACGGTTGCGAGTTATAAACATATTGGCAAATATTTGTAGATTGGTAATCAAACCATTCTTGGGTTTATCACATAAATAATACATGCCATTCGTTGACAATTTACTCACTGCTTCCCTAATTGCGCCAATAAATCTGTCAGATAGTCAAATATAACTTTACAATAAATAGAACACTAGAGAACACGGTGTTCAATTTTAATTTCCTTAAGAAATGTCATCTAAAAGTCGTCAGGGATGAGTTCAAAGAATATAAATCGATTAGGGCTTATTACACGTCATCGATAAGAATAATTTATTCCAATGGCTTTCTACTGCGTTTCCACAGCTTTATACCGAAAAATTGAATAGTGGAAACATTGTTTTATTGGTGAGTGTATTTCATTATGTAAATGGAAATGTATTTCAAAAATCACTTTAAAACAAGAGCTTATTCGGACAGAGGATGTTTTTGCAACAGCGACATAAGTTAGCTACAGCTACTTTTTCTACGTAAGAAGTAAATGTCCTAAAAAGACAGTGATATACGGTTTTATATTGTAGTAGAAACTTCCAAAACAGATTCATTATTAAAAATGGTGTAAGTCCAATATATTCACTGCAAGTCATTAATAGTCTAGTCACACTATGTGGGTACCCCAAAAAAGTGTTTCCACTGGGTGAAATCCAAATATCGGGCTAGGACAGCTAGAGTTTGTTATTTTATTTGTTTATTTTTCGTTTTTCTAGATGCCTATACGAAACCTATATAAAAAACAGGTTTATGTTGATAACCCCATAGCTTCCCCATAGTAAAAATAGGCATTTAAATTTCTAAGACATTTTTTGTAGGTTCCCTTCATCTTCCACGGTTACAGCTGCTATGTAAATCGCTGCTGGGGTTTTTTACCAGCTGAGTGCAAAGGATCTTAGAAATTAACACCTAAATTGATTTCGGTCTTAAACATATGTTAAGTTGCCTTTAATTATTTAATTCTAATTTTTCAACTCAATACAAGAATTAATAAATCCACTTGCGGATTTCACATCTTCAGGATTCCCCAGTGTTCCGCCGGAATACATAGGTTAATTTAAAAAAAAAAATTAAATTTTAATATAAAGAGCGTATTATAATATATATGTAGAATGCAGATTGCCCAACTCAGTAAAGTATAAAGGAAAAAATACGTCTCATTTCACATCTTCAGGACTTCCCATCGTTTCGCAAAAATAAGCTCGCCGGTAAGAAACACGTTCTACTTGACTCAAATTGGTTACTATCTTGACTTCCAGAAAGAATAAGGAATTCCGTCTTTTTTTCTTCTTGCGCTAATAAAGTGGACAAAATGGGAGATCTTACGAATTTACCCATGGAAATTCTTGATTTAATTTTTAAGTTCCTTGGAGATCTGGAAGACAAGCTGCAGTTGGCCAAAGTTGATGAAGTGCTGGCTGCAGCATTTAGATTTCATTGCGGAATTCATTTTAAGTACTTAAGCGCGTTTGAAGTTCCAACTCGCTTTTGGGAGGATTTGTTGCCAATTTGCGGATCAACCATTGAAGTCATGCACACCGATAAATACGAAGACATCAGACCGCCGTATAAGTTGATTGAACAGTATTGCCCAAACTTGCAGTTTATAAGCCTGCATTTAAGGTACCAAAATTGTGAAATTGTAAGGAGTTTCCTGAAGAACTTGAAAAATCTAAAGGAAATTGACATTTTTGCCATAAATGCCTCTCCGGAACTTTTTAGATTTTTTCAAGATCTTCCTAACTTGGAGAAACTACGTCTGCAAAATCATGTTGATCCCAAATGTAAGTATCAATTGCTCGAAATTTTGTACTTAGTTTTTGTATCTGTAATTTCCATTTTTACAGTTGAGTATCAAATGAGCAAATGGCTCGACGGACCTATGAATGCTAAGGAATTCCCGAAATCCTTGCCCCCGCCTATTAATCTTCATGACACATTTTGGCCACTTAAAAAGCTGTGCTATCTGGACATGTATGGCTTTTTCGTATATTCAATGAAAACCAATGAAGAGTTAAACTTGCCTGCCTTAATGGAACTTCGATTTCGGTGCTGTGCTATTTTATCCAGCATTCCAATTATGCCGAAGCTTACAAAATGTATTTTAAACTGCTTACATAGCATCGTGATGGATAGTGGTTATAACCCCTGAAGAAATAACGCTTAATTTTCCCGATGCTAACAAGGAATTGTTTAACGTTGTTGTTGAATAATTTGCAAATAAATGGGACAATTATGAGATTGGTTTTAATGGTCAGGTAAGGCAGTCTAAAAAATAACACTATGCAGCATCAAAAATTAACCTCGATAAATGCTATATTTTTGGATTCGTTACGAATTCCCAAGTTAAACTGCGTTTTCCAAAGAGTTTCCCGACGCAAGGATTCTTAGCAAAAGGACCTCAAAGTTCGAAAAATGCTGAAATTGGCCAACTTTGCGGAGCTCTCAGAGGCAAATGGATGCATGGCTTGGTTCGAAGATAAAGTTTTTTAAAAGATACACCCTTTATCTTTCAAAGCGTTTTAAAGCACTGTATCGTATACCCGCCCTTATCTAAACAATTGGCTGCCAGAATAAATTTTATAAAAGAATACACACACACTAAAAGTAAACAAACTGCGTCCTGGAAAAGGCATGGAAATATATATATTCTACACTGGCAACGCCTCCTCTTTGAAAGTTGCAATTTGCATCAGCAAATATTTTACACCTCTAATGCGAGCGAATTTTTCAAACCAGATTTTTGCATAAACTAAGGCTGCGTTTGCCATTAAGTGTGCGCTACACAAGCAAGCTGAAAAATATTGCTAAAAAGGAAAAAAGGGGCGTTTTAAATTTGACAACCAGCAGATTTAATTAGAAATTTTTAGTAGCCCCATGAATCTATCAATGCAATAAGGGACCAAAAAAGCAAATGAAGTTGCGTTTTATACATCGTCAGTGGCATAGAATGTTGCACTGAGAACAAAATAGAATATGAATTTGTTTAATACTTTTAAGTGTTTTTCACAAAAATAATTTTTTTTGCATGCAAAAATATATACCTACACCAAAATTATTATTATGAGGGTTTATTATAAGACATCCAGTTTTAATAATTCAATACATTTTAGAAATACAATTTTTATTCACCTCTTAACAATAAAAATGTTAAATTCTTGCCCCCTACGATATTTTTAGAAATTGCATTGTATATAAAAATATATTTTGTCTCAAGAACAATCATATTTAACTGGTTGAGAGATCAGGTCACTTAATAAACCAACTTGTTGTCTCGTAATATCGTAAAAATGTCCAGGGGTTCTGCGCGAATAATATATACAGTTTTATAGACGCAACGTTCTCGTTTCACACCAGTTTAATTAAGAAATTTAGCCACTGCTGAACCCATTCCAGCGTAGATCGCACTCATAATTTGTGTTTTTCTGACTAAATCGCCTTTAAGCCGTAATCACAACAAAAGACGCCAGGCAGAAACACAAGATTCGCATTAACACAAAATCAGTATCCCCAGGTTCGTGGTAAGAAAAGCCCAGAGGAGATGGTGGGATGGAGTGTATTTTGATCTGGTGCGATCTGCGGTGAGTCATCCGTTTGTATAGTATAGACTCTCCAGACGTCTGCACGATCCCGCTGAAAAGCTTCAATGTGTGAAGTGAACATCTTGGAAGCTTTTGGGGACAGACTACAGGGCCAGGGTCGTAGAGGGTTTTTCGGTCTAACTACCTGAACGTGGCCAGCGATCTTTGAGGGACTTGCTAATCATATCGAGCCACGAATTGTTTTCATTTAACTGTGTGCCGAACTGCAAGATTCGCTTGGATGACTCATGGACTGCAGGTAGTTGGCCTTTGGTCCAGACTAGACCCGGTTGGAGTCATCTCTTTTTTTCCGTACCCTGAACCAGGGTATCTTAGCTTGTAAGGGAAAGTTGCAAAAGAGATGAACTAAATTCGGAGGAACTATTATTCATTTTTTCAAAAGGGATATATTATTAAATATTCTAATTTCTTTATAAGAAATATTATTGATACAATAACTAAATCTCTTTAATCTTTACTTAAACCGTTAAAATAAATCCAGTGATGTAATTTATTTAAAATGCATTTTACCATGCCAAATTAAGTACTAATAAATTTCTCATTATATTCAGGGTACTTCCAGCCGCGATCAATCGGATAATGGGTTTCGTTTTGGCCTGGCCCCCACCTTATTAGATGTTGCAGAGGGCCTGTTCAGGTAGATTTATTGTATAAACAAGCCGAATGGGCAAATAAGCAACGAGCCAGGAAGACGGGCGAAATCGGCGGGGCGGCAAGTAAGGGGAGGAACTAAAAATTATTTATATTTGAGCTTATTTATGGTTTTCGGTTTGGGTTCGGCTCGTTCTCGACTTGACCACTCTCGATGAGTCATTGGCCGATCTGATCCATATGTGCGGAAACTGAACTCCTTTTCCAGCAGCACATTATTGTTGCTATTGTTGCCCGTTTTTTTATTTTTATTTTTTATTAAAAGTTGATTGATTTTATAGGCGCGATAAGTTCATTGTAGTCGATTGGTCGTGTCTGTCTGCCTCTCACAGATGACTAATGTTCGGTCGATGGGGCTCAGGTCTTTGGTAATGAATTTTGTCCGTCGCCTGGCTCTAAAGATCTCTTTGTTGTGCAAAATGGTGGGATCGTTGTTGAAAAGATAGTTATAAACACTTTGAACTGGTCGTTGACACTTGGATTGGCTGACTGAGTGATTTTGGGAAGGGGCAAGCCTATCGTTTTATTTCTGACTTTGATCTTTAAATTATCTCTTTCTTGAGAACCAATTATAAACTTTAGGATTAAAAACGATAAGTTGTATTGATGCGCAACTAAAAGAGAAATTTTAAGAAGCATTTTCGAATATTTAAAACTCTAAAAGCAGAAGAATTGAGATTGAAAATATAAAGTGGAAGAAGAACTAAATTAAAATGTAATTGTAACTAGAATATTTAAAACCATCAAAGCAAAAGAATTAGGTTAAAAAATATAAAGTGGAAGAAGAACTTGATTGAAAATGTAATTGTAAATAGAAAAATTAATTTAAATAGGCAGAAAAACATTTTGGCACACTAAACACACATCCAAACAAATTGACAAAAGTTGTATTATATTTTTCATAATTTTACGAGATTTGCCACGGATGTTTTTTATTTTTTAACGGAAAGGTATAGTAAATTCTTAAAATTAAAATTTAAAAAATAACACTACCCTTTTTCAAATAACTGTCTGCATCCTTTCCAATTCCAACCACCCATATCTGTAACTCAACCCAGCCAAAGACCTTGTGTTTATTTTCAAAACACCGAATTGCTTTATGGATACAATGTTCGTTTATTGCTTTGTTTAATTAATTTAACAGGCAAATGGCAAATGGAGACCATAAATAAGGCCCGCAACTAATTGCTGACACAGTTAGCGAGACAAGACAAAGACATGGGATCTATTGGCGTGGGCGCTGCTGACAGTCAAAGATCAGAACGTGGCCAAGAAAATTGTGTGGACCAACACCTGCAAATGGAAACGGGGAGCACGTGCTGGCAGTGCTCCCAAAAATCCAATTTCCAGGGAAATCGAATTCCACTTCTTAGAGTCGTGTAGTGCCAACAAACAAGAAATGAGAAACAAATTTCCAGTAGCACCCATCAGTGATAAATCCCGTTTCAGATGCTGTCGAGATTGAATCGAATCTGAAGTTCAGGTTGAAGCTAAGTTTTCTCTAGCAGTAGACAGTTGGCACGAGCCATAAATATTCCAGACAGACCAAATCAGCTGAATCATCATCTTCAACGCCATCATGATCCACAATTACAATGTCTGCCCAAGAAGAATCTATAGCTCCCATTCCCTCCGCCTCCAGAAAGCAACGCCCACTTTGTACACCTTCAAATCGTGGGCACGAGCCCAAGTAGCTAAGATATTTTGTTTCTAGCTATGTTTTTAATTAAAAATGCTGAGCACAAAAAATGTCGGAAGACCCTAAATAAAATAAATGACTTTTACTCTGCAGATCCAAAAGCTTCTCATCGCCCAAACGAGAAGTCATGGTCGGAGTTTTCCGATTCTTTGGGATAGATGAGCTCAGATGGCATAAGGAATTGTATAATACAACTCTGGATACTCTATAGAACATATTTAGAAACATTTTATAAAAATGAGAAATATTTACCTTAATTACTTATAAGGCTACTGAAATAGCAACACGATTTTTTGAATCCGCAGGGGAATTGAAAAATATTTTTTTAAATTGTACAGAAATTTAATAAGCCATTTTAATACTAGCAATGATTTTCTTTCTCTCTATTGTTTTTAAACATCGTTGCCTTGTAAGGGAAATAATATGGAAAGGGCGACTACAAATCGATTGAACCAACTGTGCTACAAAGCTCCAGTCTGGGCGTTTTCCCTACAAGAGGCCTGGCCAGCGGCAACAACGGAGTACAACTGTTCCACAACTGTTTTGGGCATCGTCATCGTCGTTGGCTTGAGTGTCTGACTTTTTTCCGGCTCTGAATAGGAGTCTGCGCCTGCGCAAAAGCTGCGCTGCCTTGGCACGTGCGCTGCAGTAAAACCCCGCAACCAAAGCGCACTACAGGCTTAATTTGACATACCTCGTACTCCTTTAGAAAAAGTGTATAACTTTGGTATACTGTCGAAATAGAAACTATCTATGTTTAACCATTGAGATACATTTATACATACATTTATCAAGAAAAAACTACAGAAAAGGAATTTAATTAAATATTTTACTGGCTTTTTTAAAGTATTAGATCTTATAAGACTTTAAAGTTTTTATTATTCAATCAGATATAAATAGTACATTGAAAAAAAAAAAGTATTTTGAGCTGAAGCACGGAGTCTAGTAATTTCTACATAGGTTTTTTTTTTCAAATCGCTAGTTTTATACCAAAGGTTTAAAATATATATTTAACGGGTATCTTGAAGTCGAACAAATATTCCTCACTTGTTTTAATTCGTTTCGTTTGGTTTGGTTTCTTTTCATTTCTGGTTTTGAAAAATGACATACAATGGGCTTGGGTTGAGCTTGGATTGGAACGGTTCAGTTTTGGTGGAGTGGGCTGTGTTTTGGGGGCATTTGGGCTGGAAAATCAACTTG